TATTCCCTTCCCACCCCATGTGTGCGATATAATTGCCATTGGCTGACAGGAGCCACTACACGGTCATTAACCCCCCAACCCTGCCCTGCGCCTGAAGACAATGACTGTGACACTGGGCTGCCAGGGTCCACCCTCTGACCTCCAGGAGGAAGGCCTGCTTTAGGCTCTCCAGGGATCAGGCTAAAGTCAGACTCAAGCCAAAAGCAGCCTGCTGGTGTCCCTGCCCTGCCCTGCCCTGCTTCCCCTTCCTTTATGGGTTTTGATCCTGAGCATTCTCCTTCTATGAATCATTTGTCAAAGAATCTCCATGTCAGGTTTTGCCTCTAAAGAACTCAGGCCAATTAGGGTGAGCAGAGGACGTGCAGAGGACCCTGCGTGCTGAATAGCCAGAAGGGGCTGACAGGCAGCCCGCAACCTGTTCTTGATTGCTCTCTTTGGAAGTTCAACAAGCCAGGCGGGCCAGCCTGCTTCTTCCAGCTGGGGGTTCCCGTTGGAAACAAAGAAGAGCTTAAGGTGGATTTGCTCTTGGGAGTGAGTCTTTGGCTTTAAGCAAAGAGAACAGCAGGTGTGGATCCTGCTGCCCCAGAAAAGCCTCTGTTGGGTGGAGAGTGCCCCATCTGCCTGGCAGAGTCAACAGAGAAGTGTCCGCTCCTTGTTGATGAAGGTTCTTAAAGGGACAGAGGCAGTAGGGTACCTCTCACCACACAGTCAGCCTGGCAGGAAGCTGTAGAAGGGGAGACAGACAGAAGGCAAGGCTGTCTCTTCACAACTCTACTCCTGCCAAGCCTCATCTTCAGCCCAGGGCAGCAGCGAGGGGGTAGGAGGAAAGGGCAGCGCTAGCCTCACCCTGGACCCAGATGAAGCCTGCGTGAGAACAGCCCAAACCAGCCAGTCAACCCAGGCCACTCTTCCCTGTGCCTATACCTAAGGGATAGGACGTGCTCCCAGAGGATGCCTGGCTTCTCATGAAAGCAAATCTCAGCAGAGACTGGATGAGGCAGCACAGGCCCTGAGAACTGAACATCATGATTTTGTGTGTGTGTGTGTGTGTGTGTGTGTGTGTGTGTGTGAGAGAGAGAGAGAGAGAGAGAGAGCTTACAGGAGTCAGTTCTCTCTACCGTGTAAGTCCTGGGGATCTGTTAGAAATGAAAACTGAGGTCTAAGGACCCCACTGATACATCACAAAATAAACGCATGGAAAAAGTGAAAATAACTCAGCAAGGCAACTTTTACTTTTACAAAAGGGTGTGTTGAACCATTTGGATCCAACAAGCATACCCAAGTTGGAAGTTTGATAGGTTTTCATCCTAACCCAAGAATACCGGGTTTTCCCCCACTGTCTGGCATTCGACCTCACAGTCTTTCCCAGTTGGCTAGTTTTAAAGGGAAATGAAGGAGAGGGAAACGGGTGGGCAGTGCTGGAGTGTCAGGTTCAAGCTCTAAGGATGCAGCGGGGCCTTTTTGAAAGCAAACGTTTTGTGTTTGTGAGTTTTTTGAGGCAGGGTCTCCCTGTATCCTTGGGTGGCCTGGAACTCACAAAGATCTGCCTGCCTCTGCCCCCCAAGCACTAGGACTAAAGGCATGTGCCATCCCGCCTGGCTAGACAAAAGTTTTATAAAGTGGAGGAGATTGAAAGATTTGAATTCCTTGTGGGGAAAAAAAATAGGGGGAGGATTGCAAAATAACATTGCAAAGGTTACATTCCTGTGATCATTCTTTTAGTAGAAAATATCTGAAATCTTTGTAATTATTTCCCTCAGATGCAACTCAGGTTGTCATGTTTACACAGCAAGTATTTTACCCACTGAGCCGTCTAGCTGGCCCTGTTTTGTTGAGACAGTCTTACTATGTAGGCCATGCTTGCCTCAACCTTGGCCTCCTCCCTTGGCCCCTGGAGTGTTGGGATTACAGGCATGTACCTGTCATACTTACTATTCTTCTTTATTTGTTTATTTAAGATATGAAAGGGGCTGGAGAGGTGGCTCAGCAGTTGAGAGCACTGATTGCCATTGCAGAGGACCAGGGTTTGACTCCCAGCACCCACATGGTGCCATGTTAGCTTGGACAAACTGTAGTTATCTTAGCAGGGGCATCCTGAGCAAGGATGAAGGATGAGAAGGAATTCCTCAGAGGAACAGAGTATAAACTCCAGAAAGCAGTCCTACTACTGATGGAGAACAGAGGATGAGGAACGCAGCATCGGGAGCTGTGGGGAAAGCTGGATGGTTCAGCACATAACACTAGGTTAATGGGAGAGCCCTGTGGTCTCAGAGACACCCAGACACCTCCTCATGCTGTGGACCAAGATGCCTCCCAAAGGGACTGTAGATTCAGATGTAAAGTGAAACAGGCTGGAGATGTAGCTTGCCAGCATGGGCCAAGCCCTGGGTTCCAGCCTCAGTATCACATAAACTGTGGCGATACACAGCTGCGATCCCAGCACAAGGTAGAGGCAGAAGGATCAGAAGCTCAAGATCATCCTCAGCTACACAGTGAGTTTAAGGGTGGCCTGGGATGCAGGAGCCCTTGTCTCAAAAGAAAAAAAGGGAAACTGTGCAAATACTACAAGAAAACAAGGATAAAGTATCCTATAATTTGGGAGTAAGGCAAACTTTCTTAATTCTGACAATGCTCAGAAGAAAGAAGGAGAAAGATGCACAAGTTTCAAGGCACTGGAGTCTGTATGGCCAAAAACTATCATGTAGTTACATAAAGATTATATAAAGATAAAGAAAATAATAAAAAAAATTGAAAGGGGCTAGAGAGATGGCTCAACAGACAAGAGCACTGGTTGCTCTGGCAGAGGACCTGGGTTAGGTTCGCAACACCCACGTGGCAACTAACAACCATCCATAACTCCAGTTCCAGGGAATCCAACGCCTTCTTCTGACCTCCATGGGCATTACATGACACAGGTGCACTTACATACACGCAGACAATACACTCATACACATAAAATTAAAATACTAAATAAAATAATTTAAAAGTTATAATAATATGGGCTGGAGAGATGGCTCAGCAGTTAAGAACACTTGCAGCTCTTGCAGAGGATCCTGGTTCAGTTCCCAGCACTCACATCCGGTGGTTCACAAATGTCTTGGGCTATTTTTAGCCCCCTAAATAGCCATTCCTTGCACATCTCTATGTCTGTCCTAACATCCTATGACTAACAGACACAATCTTTTGGAATGTATTAACTTAACAAAACCCTAGTTTCCATTGGCTAAAAGGATGAGTGTTTCAAATAACATCTGAGGCCCACAGCTGAGATTTCTCTTTCACTGTAACCGCCTACTTGATGTCTCCACCAATGGATTTGAAGTGTCTTGACTGATGACTTTCTTTGTTCTGTTACTATAAAAACTTCATCAAACACCACGTTAGAACATGGAACTTGGAGTGACCTAAATCTGTATTCATAGGCCATGGTCACTCATATTTGGCCCCAAAATAAACAATCTGTTACCCCCTTTAAGGTAAGACCTATATTTTTGAGTCAACATAGTAAAGAAAAAGACAAATGCCTCAAAGCTGTGAATATATACCCAATCTTGCTTATAATAAAAGAAATGCAATTTGCACCAGAAGTATTTCTCACTGATTAGATTAGCCAAAATGCAAACATTTAACAAAATGTTCTCCTATCTGGGCTGTGAGAAAACCAGCGTTGTCACACACAGCTGGTGGGAAGTAGGATGGTGTCATCCCTGTAAAAAGGAACTTGGCAATGCTTAGCAAGACTGCATGTGCGTCTGCCCTTTAACCCGTATCCCACTTCCAGGAAACCATCCTAAAGCTCCATGGCAAACAATACAGAAAGTCCCAGGGATCAGGCTATTTACTGAAGCACTCTTTGTAACAGCCAAAGCTGGAACGAAGCCAAATGTTCAAAATAAGAATGGGGACATACACAGACGCCACACAAAGGACTACTCTGCAGCCATGAAAAGAACAAGATCTCCAGAAACAAGCACAAAGTGATCCCCAGGGCACCTTGCTAAAGGGAAAAAGCATGATGGAGGAGAGTGTACATGATATACTCAGAAACAGGTGTTCATCTAGAAAGGCAAGGCACAAAATGCAAATGTGAAGTATAAATATAATCCTTATAAACACTGGAGGTTTAAATAGAATCGCACACAGAAGAGACTCTAGATTCCTTTAAATGTATCTTAGTTTTTAGACTTGATTACAATTTTGTATGTCTTACATAATTATAAAATCATGTGATTATAAAGATAAATTGTACATTTATTTATTTATTGAGTATGTGTTGTGTATATGTGTGTGGGCACTTGGGCATGTAGAGGTCAGAGGACAACTTGTGAGAGTTGGTTCTCTCCTTCCACCATGTGAGTCCTGGAGCTCAAACTCTCGTCATAGGCTTAGTAGCAAGCACCTTTACCCACTGAGCTATCTCGATGGCACTAAATTAAATTTCAAAAACAAATCTCCAAGCCAGGCATGGTGGCTCATACCTTTAATCCCAGCACCTGGGAGGCAGAGGTAAGCAGCTCTCTTGAGATCAAGGCCAGCCAGGTCTACATAGCAAGTTCCAGTCCTGCTGGAGCTACAAGGAGACCCTGTCTCGAAAAGAAGCCAAACACACACACACACACACACACACACACACACACACACACACACACCTCACACCTCACACACAGAAAACTTTTTGAGACATGCTCTCACTATGTAGCCCTGGTTGGCCTGGCACTCACTAGGTAGACGTGGTTGGCCTAAAACTCCCAAATACTGGGATTAAAAGTGTGCGTCTCCCCAACCATTTTGGGGAAGAAGGACTTAAGGAGAGGGACAGAGGTAGGGCCACACTGGACCTGTGGGGCACTGCAGGGACTGGTGTGATGACTGAGAGGACTCATGAGGCCTGAAGGAAGGATGCCAAGGGGTGAGACCTCATGTGCCTGCTCTGGACCCAGGGGCAGCTGCTAAGCAGCAACTGTCTTCGAGGTCAGTGAGGTCGACTTGGGACTGGCAGCATGAAGGATAAGGGCAGCCAGGTCAGGGAAAGGCACCTCAACCAACTCTCTAAATGACCTCTTCCCAGCTCTCATTTCCCCGTCAGGCTGATGACTGGCTAGATGCCCTGAGCATCTGGAATTTGCCCTCATGGCTTCTGGATGGGCTTTATCGGGCTCCATTCATGGTGGCTAATTGCTGCTTGCTGGCTCAGAGGTTCCAGAGGAGTGATCGATGCCTGGGTTCACTGCACACCTGCCAACAAGCAGGTGTGGCAGGCAAGGTGGCTATAAAATCTATTCTCAAGGAATGTGCTAGATGAGGTCCTGAGGGCACCCAGAATGCTTATTCATGACATGGGGAGGGGAGCTTAACGGCCATGCGCACGGTGATAAATGACTCATTAGCCAAATTCGTGACTGTTCAAACATCACAGATTACACTTACACCTAGACAGGGAAGGACAACCACCCAACACAGCCTCTTTACGCTAACAGGAGACACAGTAAACACGAGGTGGGGTGTGGCCGCACCCACATAACCTGGTATATTGTTCTACTGTGAAGTTGGTTTTTTGTTTTTTAGGTAGACTAGAAAGAGTAGACTAAAATACTGGCAAGAGAGAGAGCAAAATAAATAGCCTAAACCAGGAAGACACTTCTTAGCAAGTATGACACACTGCTTAGACCGTATGCACCACACTTCTACACAACCTTCAGTGTGGTCGGTCTGTTTATACTGGCATCGCCACAGACGCGTAAGTAAATGTCACCAGATAAGAGGAATTCTTCGGCTCCACTAGAATCATCGTACAGGGCTGTCACACAAGTCATCCTTCACTGACCAAAATATAACGTGGTGCACGGCACTGTGTGCGTTGCTAAATCTTTCATAAGTGCTACATTTGTCCCAAACCTTCTTTCTCACCTCCCCCTTTGCCTCCTCTCTCCTTCCCTCTGCAACCTTCACCCCCTGTGCTTTTGCCAGGAAACCAAAGACTGGCACATGACCCCCCACACCTTTTCATACCGTTATAACCATGTGTAAACTCCCTCACGGGAACCAAGGGAACACATCCGGTATTGAATGCAGGGCCTACCCAATGCCAGCCAAGCACTTCACTGCTGAGCTACAACCTCAGTCCTCTTTTCATGTTTCATTGCTAAGGTGAGGCAGGATCTCACTAAGTTACCGAGGCTGGGCCTTGAATTCACCCCGTAGCCAAGTCAGATCTCGAACTTTGGATTCTCCTGCCTCAGCTTCACAGGTAGTTAGGATTACAGGCCCGTGCCATGGGGTAGGGCACAAAATGCCATTTTAAAATGTTAGTTGAGGGGCTAGAGGAGTGATGGCTCAACCCTCAAAAGCACTTGCTGCTCTTGCAGATGACCAGAGTTTGGCTACCAGAACCCACATTGGGTGGCTCACAATTGCATGCAACTCCAGCTCTAGGCTTGTAACCCTGGCCCCAGGAGATCCAATGTCTTCTTCTAGTATCCCTGGGCACCCGAACACATGTGCATATACTCACACACAGAGATATGAATAAAAATAAAATAAACCCTTCTTATGTTAGTTAAGGGGCTGGGAATGTAGCTCACTTAGCAGAGTGCTTGCCTAGAATGCACAAAGACCCAGGTTGGCTCCCCAGTACCATATAGACTGGTGTAGTATCACATGGTCAACTTGATTTTCAGCTACACAGCAAGTTCAAAGCCAACCTGGGGATACATGAGCCATCGTGTCCAAAAATCAATAAAACAAAATGTTAGTTAAATGACTGCATAAAAGTATTAAATTAGTCTCAAAGGCTCCTTCCAGGCTTCACCTAAGAAGGGCTTAGTTGACACTTAGGTGTGCTGGCTCACACAGGTAATCCCAGGTGGAGTCAGGAGGATGAAGAGTTCAAGGCCATCGTGGGCTACATGAGATGCGCTCTCACAGAAACAAAAAACAAAAAAAGGTAAATTGATTGGAATTTTTATGGCAAACAATAGAAACCATCTGCCGCTGAGTGTGGGGTGTAGGCAGCTCTAATTCAGCACACAGCAGCGGCAGAAGGGAGGAACGGGTCCCCAGAGAAAACTCTAGAACCTAGAAGAGGCAGTAGCTATGGATCTGGAGAAATCACCAATTCCAGAAGAAAGGAGAAAAACTGGGCTCCTTCATTCTGATGCAAACATGCACACCCACAATATCAGAAAATTAGGTGAACGGGTTGGGGGGGCGCAATTAGAGCTATCTAGCACCAACTGATGATTCCAGAGAATTTTCAAGGATGGAGAGGTCTTCAGAGGGGGACAGAATATCATTCATACTTCTTAAAAAACAGAGATGCCCTTCCGTCAGGAAACTTCTGGGTTTGACTCAGGCTAACAAACTTCTAAGCTGAGGTCAAAGGCCTCAAACAAGAGGTGGGTGAGTCCTCTGCATAGAAAGCCTGGGATGGGACGGGCTCAGGGCCCTGGCAGCTGATTTCAGAACAGGTCACCCGAAGCTCCCCTATGTGTGATGTACTTCTGTTTCAGAGATGCCTGACTCGGAGGAACTTTGTATGGTTCTCAGCTTTGTATGGCCCTGGAGGTCTGAGGGGCCAGTCTTGGTCCCCGATAATAGTACACCCCTTATATCCCTTCAGGCCTCAAGAGTAGGTGTAGGCTCACCTGACCTGTTTGGGGATGCCACTAGGCAACAAGTGATCTCAGGCCACCAACCCCAACCCCACTCGCGTGTCCTGCTAGACCAAGCTCGGGGGATAACTCAACACCAAATCCACTGTCTGAATCTTGCTCTGAAACCCTTCACTGTGGGAGACCCTTCATTGTAGCTTCTAAAGAACCACAAAACTGTGCCAGTGAGATGGCTCAGCAGGTGCAGGCACCTATGGCCAAGCCTGACAACCAGAGTTCAAACCCCACATGGTGCAAAGAAAGAACCGACTGCCAAAAGTTGTCCTCTTCAGGCACACTGCGGCATGTGTGAGCCCAACACACACACACACACACAAATGTAATTTAAAGATTAAGAAAGGACCACAAAACTGGGCTAGAGAGACAGCTTGGCATGAAAAGGTACCACGCAGCCTGAAGAGCAAAGTTCCACCCCGAGAGAATAGCAGGAAAATGGGACTCATCTACGGCAGAAGTCATCTACGGCAGAAGTTGCAATGTATCTCTAGGGCAGGATGAGCCCTGGAGGGGTGTTCACGTGAGAAGGGCAATGCTAGCTTTTGCTTTTATAAGGCTGGGAAGTAGGAAACGAGGATTCTGGGACACTGGTAGTGGCTCCATGATGACTGAGGCTTCTTCTGTGTATAGTGCAAGGTCTTTGAGATCCTAATTCTTTCATAGGGCACTCAAGACTCCTCTCCTCTGACCATCTGCTGGCCCAGCTAGACACACTAATTAGCCAGGATGGCACCAA